CATGCGACTTCTGAGTCGTCAACAAGCTTCACTTCTCTGTGACCTGAACACAGGTGGATGTGTGGGATTTGTCTGAAATGTGATTCTTGATAAACTAGAGCAGTAAATTCCTGCCAGGTCAGTAATCTATCATGTAATTGCTGTCATTTCCCTTTTAGCCTGTCCATTTTCTAAGTGTACATATCTTTCCATACTCCCCTCTTTCTTGTGCTCCCCACACAGTTTTAATGCATTGATCTTCAGTAGCTCAACCTGCTGTAATACATTTTGATTTGTAACAAAGCGGGGGAAATAAGATCATGATTGCAGCTGTTTGTGTAAATATTGAGAAGGGTTTGCAGAATCTGGCTTTGACAGAAGCAGAGTAGCAGTGCTGGAAGAAGAGAAAGAAGTATGAGAAGATTGCCTAAAAGCATAAGAGTCCAGAATAAAGACAGGGGCTTCCATACCTGCCACATCTTTGTTGAGCTAGCTGCCATAGTGGGTGGAGATCTTAAGACCACTCTGAAAGTGCCAGGGAGCACCTCATTACCTAGAGGAAGGAATCTCAGGTATTTTGGTATTTGTATTGAAGACCAGTTTGATGAGGAAGTTGACTTGTATGATTCAAAGTTCTGTGGAGAGTGGAGTTTGTTTGAGGCTGGATGAACTTGGCAGCAGAGCCCACAGATGAAAGCAGCTCAGGTAGGTTCTTACGTATGCTTATTTTCACTGTGTATGAAAACACTGTGTGTTTTCCCCTCCCCAAACAATGCTTTTGTGTGTAGGCAGGGAAAGAAAAAAGTGTCTTTTGAAGTTGTAGTTTGTTTTAACAACTGTCTGTGACTGACAGTGTGAAAAACAAGAGAAAATACTATTAACAACTGCAAAAATATTCCCGAGTGTGAAATACTGGTGGAATTTAAAAGTAACACATTTCCAGTGCGCAGCAAACAGAAAATAAAACTTACTAAACCAGGTAGTTGAGCATTCAGATCAAATGTATGTAAACTTTAAAATAATCTTTGTAAACAGTTAATTGCATATGTGTTCAAGGCACAAATTTCTTCTGCCTTTGCAAGCAAAGATGTAGTGCCTTGATTTTTCAGCAATTGTTACGTGCCATGCTTGGATTAGGACGCGTAGAGAGAGAGATGTTTACTGCTGGTGTAGGATGGTCTGGGCTTCACTTGCAGACCCTGATGGAAGGCTCCAGTTTTCCATACGCATTGTCCTAGATTGTCCTGTTGTTCTGCAGGGAAAAAAGCACCTTCCAGTGATGTTCTGCACTCAGCCACTGTGGCTGTCGTCAGTGCAGTGGGAAGGTTACTGACAAATAAGATTATGGAGCAGTTGCTTGCTGTGGGATTTAAATGTGACAGCAAGCAAGGCAGAAAAAATACTTACTGAAGTGAGTTTAGTAGTATATAATACATGATAACCTGGGATCCAAATCTGAATGTTAGGCGTGAGGAGTATTTGCTTCAGTAAGATCCTTTTGGGGATATTTTTATATATTTTTTTACTTTTCTCTTGTTGCATTCTAGTCCTTTTCATGCGATGGTGTTCATCCTGCTGTTTCTCCGTGGCCCATATAAGGCTTTCTTGGGTGTCATCTGTTCTATACCTAATCAAACGGAAGAGGAAGTGGGCAAAATGTGATGTGTTCTCTGATCTTTCAAAGACTGGACCTGTAATACTGAAGCGGGGAAGAATATACGTTAGGCCAAAGGTGTAAGGACAGAGTGCAGGTACAGTGTACAGCTGCAGTGCACAGATCCTGAGACAGCAGGCACAGATAGCACAAGGTGTGTGGGGACACACGCATCTCTTCTCCGTTGCTGTAAATTTGCCAAACTGTGTCTTAACCAGTGCTGTGTGCCTCTCCCACTTTAGCTGCTAGCTTTGCATGATGCTATATCCCATCCTTTTAATCCCAGTGAAAGTTCAGGGTTTTTTCAGCATAAATGTTTTGAAATGTGATTCAGTATGTATTTTACACAGCTTTAAAGTGGTCATTCTTTGTAAACACTCAGTGAAAGTTTGTATTTAAAAACTTTAACTTTCTCCTTCAAAATAAACATATGCCACCATGGATCAGCACCTTCCACAACAATGTGAATCGAAGGCAATGTAGTTCACAACTTGCACAAAGCAGCATGCTGTATTCCGGGAATTGTGCTGAAGGTCTTTTTCAGCCATCTGGTGCCTCCCTGTGGCTCCCGGGCATGGCTCTTCAGAATCAGCTGATAGCTTTCCATTCCTTCCCTGGGACTGACAATATTCGTGTTCTCCCTTTGTAAAAGTTCAGGTGTAGCTCTAGTGATGTAAATAACTGTCTTGCAGAACTAACACAGCACCAAGATCTCTTCCTTGTCTCTTCCCATTTACACACCTGGCAATTGCTCTGCACCTGCTCGTGTGACACATGCAGCTTTACTTACTGGTGCCCAGGAGCCTGTTATATGGTTTCCTGTACAAGGCAGGGAAAGGATACATCCCAAGATCACAGTTAGCATTGTGAGGCAACTAAACCAACGAGAATGTGCTGGTATAGGAAAAATGTTGCTGCATGCAGCTTTTTAAAAAGTCCTGTGTTCTAAAAATTGCAAGCGCCATGTAGTTTTCCCGAGCGGGTTTGTTGTTGCACAAGTGAGCAGGATGGTGTTTGAGCTTCACAAATACAACCACACCGGGGGCACACAGTCTCTGTTGATCTCTACAGCGTTCGTGTTTCTGATAACAGTTAGAAAATGAAGCTATGTACAAATGTGAATTATGGTAATGACAATAGTATGGAGTAGGTGGATTTAATGGGAGCTTGATACTCTGTTCCTGTTGTCCCTTTAGGGGTGTTGGTATGTGAAGTGTAAAGAAACCTCATAGCAGCTTGTTGGTAGGGCTGGGCCCCCCTCTGAGACACTGCGTGTACCTTCTGCTTAACATGTCTTTTGTCACTCCAGGCGCCTGCTGAGAGGATTTGCTGCGCAGGCCAAATAACCCTATTTGTATACATCCTGGCAAAGCGTCAGGGGTATCAGTTGTACACCAGCACAAGTGCTACCAGTAAAGCTTTCTGGAGTAGCGCTGACTTTAATGTTGATTCAGTAAAAGCTGTTTGCACAGAGAAAGGGAAACAATTTTTACTGTTACCACTGTGTCCACCTTAACTGCCATACTGGTAGGGTAACTGCAGGAAAACAGCAGCAGCAAAACAACCCCCCAAAAGGTGGTGTTTGTAATGCGTTCATAGTAGTAAAAGCTGTGAGTAGATTGTGTCTGAGAACAACATATTGGCACTGTTTAGAATAAAAAGGATGGTTAGAGTTCATGCATATTTTTGGGTTTGTGTGCTGCTGGGATTCCTTGTGGCTTCCTTATCTCCCCGGAGTTGGGTGTTGAGTGCTAGAGGATGCTGCAGCCTACTACAACCCCTGGCAGAACCTACCAACATTGTAGAGATTTTGTCCAGTAGCAACTGAAGGACAAACTTTGCACTCCAGGACACTCAATTAAAAGGTGATCTTTGGAATTGAGTATGCTTCAACCAGTTGACATTGACAGCTGGTATTTCATCATGTCTGTAGATAAATGGTGTTCCTGTACTGTCTGTTACAGCTTTTACTTTATTTGGAGCATTTCTTATGGATAATTAAAGTTTATAGAGAAGGGAATTATACAAGAGTATGCTTTTGATTTGCCATTACTGCTTTTATGTGAGATCTCCGATTACTCTGTAAACACCAAATAAGTCTCTGAGCACAGAGGAGGTTAGAATTACGCTATCATTATAATGAGTAAAATGAGGGCCAGAAAGTTAACTGATTTGGTAAAATTATTGAATGATAGTGTTGTGATGCAGCTGTTGCACTTAGGCATCATGAAAGCAATGTAATTTTACCTCATTATGGAAATGCTAGATCAAGGAATTGGGTAGATGAGCAGAATGCTCCTCTTTATTTCACAGCTTTTGAATGAGGCGAAGTTTGCAGGAGGATGTAGTATATTTGTACTTAAAGCACAGCTCTGGAAACAACCACAGAACTGCCAGGCAAAACAGTTGGAAAGAAATACTATAAAAGGTGAAACAAAACAAGCTTCTGCTATCTAGCCCCAAGAAACATCTTTCTTTGAGCACAAAGCACATGGATCTGAGTGATGAAAGATCTGACCTACTAGTAACTACTGATGTTGCCAAGGCTTAGCAGTTACTGCACCATGCTGAGTCAATGATTCTTCACGTTGGAGGACCCCTGTTGAATGACAGCAGTATAATGCTATCAGATTTTCACATCTTTTCAGTCTGGCGTGCCTTGCTCAGAAGTTCAGTGAGCATTATTTTCTCTTTGAAATTCTTCAGCTGCATGGCTGATGGAGCGTTTGAAAAGTTCCCAGGAATGCTGTGGGGTTTGAAATGTTATCTGTGTACACTTGATTTTAATTAAAAATGGTTATTCCACTGTGTTTCCCCAGTTTTTGCTTTTCTGTTAAGATCTAGTTCATTAGAAGACAGGAGTATAATATCCAGCTAATGCAGATGCTGTTTACAGTTGAAAATAATTTTAAATGGTTTTCTTAATCTCTTCAAAATTCAGTACTGCTATTACACCGCAATTTGTTTTGCAAATAAATGGTATGTATTGATGAAGCATGTCAATATCCATTTGACTTATGAGGCTAAGTTAAATAATTCAAAGAGAGATCTGTAGTGCTTCTCATTATTAATTTTCAGAATTATTTAAATATTCAGTATCACTCTTTAAATATTAATTGCCACTAATCTCTAATGGAGAGCCTTGTCACATTACTTATTCCACCCATGGGCTGTTATATGCTCAGCTTCTACAATTAATTATTTGGATTGCTGCAGATCTGGGTAAATCCAAGTGCTGAAACCTTCCGTACTTCATGAGGAGAGTCAAACAAAACTACAAAATCCTTTGTATTTGTTACTCAGCTTTTGGTAATACAGTTTTCTTTAAACATAGTGATTTGCTGACTGTGTTTTGTATGTATTTCAGTCCTACAAGATCATCAATTTTGCTCCAAGTCTACTGCAAATTATAGTATCTGATCAGGTTGAATTTCCAGTGCGTCAAGCAGGTGAGGTGAATTCCTTGTTTCCTTTTCTTTCAGTAGAAAGTCAGCCTGTATGTTATTACAGCAGAGTATCAAGCTCTGTTGCAATGCAAATAAGTTCACGTTTGTTCTGAATGTGGAAATGAAAAGGATCTAACATGAGGGTCAGATAAAACTAGGGGTATAGGGTAGAGCCCTGCTTTGGCATCCCTGTGTTTGTAGTGATCCCTACTGGATTGCTGTGATGCTGATATGAGAATGATTTCTGTTCAAAGCTGAGTGCTCAGGAAGCCTTAGACCTTCTTTTTCCTGGTGGTGTAGAAGTATTGATGCCAAGACAAGTGGGAATTAAAAAAAAAAAAGCGGGTCTCACTTTTATACACATTTCTCTATTTGAATCCCTTTTCCTGCTTCTAAAAAATAAGAAAACCCCCACCCCACACAAAAAGTAGATTTGAAGGAAGGTCGCATCACTGCTGAACTATAAATTTATAGCCTGAGCATGTCTAGAAAGATTGCCCAGCTGTGTTTGTGAGTTCAGGTATGGTGATGCAATTATCTTCAGGGTATACGTTTGTGTAAGATCAGATTCTAAATTTTCATAATCTATGTTAACTACTCCTATACAATATTTTTGACAGATACAGAAAATATTTAGCTTTTCCAGGAAATTGATGAGCACTGTTTCGCTCACAGCTCTATTTTTATCCTATGGAACAGCATTTCCCGTAGAAGCACTGTTGGTTATTTTGTACAGCTCCTATTAATCCTCCGAGTGCGTTGGAGCATGCTGACATATGCTGTTTGTCATGCTGGCATTTATTTTTTCAAAGATAATCCAACTTTGAATGGCATTGTTAAACCATTCTCTGATAAAGTTCGATGCTTTATGTAGACTCCATAAGGTAATTTTTGTAAATTAAGCTCTCATTTCAGTATCGTTCAGGAAAAACCACCAAGTATGTAGAACATAGTTTCCAATATTTTTGTTTCTTTTCTATTTTTTTACAGAGTGGGGATATAAAATAGAAAAACATGTTTAAGTTACATTTGTAAGTTAACAGATTTCCCTGGGAATTTTTTAAAAGCCAAGAATTTGTATAACAACAAGATCTATGATAAAGTAAATTGAAGTCTTGGGCTGGTCTTTCTGGACCTGTTTCTTGTTTGAAAATTCTGGCACATCATAGAAAAAGAACTGTTTTCCCTCTTGCTCCTATAAAATATTTTATGAACTACGTGTTTTCATACTTAGTAATTTGTCATCACCAAGAAAAATGATTGTACCCAAGGATATCTTATTTAAACTTTAAAACGCTAGCTAGTAATTGACCAAACTAGTGCAGGGATAAGAGTTTATTAAGAACATTCCTTTAATGTCTTTCTTACACCATATTTACAATGTTTTCATAAAGAATGCCTACAGGCATTTTAGTACTGAAGCATAAATGCTGCTTTATTTCCAGTTGAAGATTAACTTTATTTTTCATGGTTGTTCACGTGAGACAGAAGGGAACAATTCTAAGGGATTATGGGAAATCCTAGTAGTGAGATAAAGCTTAGGGAATTCACAACAAACATTTCGGTCTGAATAGAAGGTAGGCCACATGCCAGTTTCATGCTGGGCATTTCCCCAAGCAGAGCATCCCATCTGCATGCACAATGGTTTGTTTACATGAGCTTTCTAAACTTCACTTACTGAGCTTGAGTTAGGGATGACTAAAAATGCAGATAAGTAGATTTTTGTTAGCTTGTTTAGAACGATGGAATATTATGTCCATATAGAAGATTGCTGTAGTAAAAAATGTACCCTGATAGAAGCTGACTGAATACTGTCCTGTTTTGTTTAGGACTAGGTACTTGAGCCTGATCTTGCGTGGAATCATATAGAAAACAGTTTTGTGACTCATCTGTGCTTAGTGCCTATAATTGTTAAGAACTCATGCAGTGGTTTTCAGTTGACTTTCCAACTCTGTTTTACTTACAACTTGTAGTAAAGTTGAGCACAGAGTAACGTGGAGGTGTGTTACAATGAAATTTTTATTTCCCCAATGTTTATACTTAGCTGCCATTTACCTGAAGAACATGGTGACACAGTACTGGCCGGACCGTGAACCACCTCCTGGAGAAGCAGTATTTCCATTCAACATTCATGAGAATGATCGTCAGCAGATTCGTGATAACATTGTAGAAGGAATAATTCGCTCTCCTGACTTAGTGAGGTACCTTACGTTGTGTAGAGGTATTTCTATAGCTCAAGTTTTCAGACCTACCAGGCCAGATGTAATTGATGTAAGAATCTCAGTTTCTTAGGAGATGAATCAAGTACTTGTTTTGAAAACGTAATAATAAATTTTAACGTATTTATGTGCACTTGTTTTTCAGAAATGTAGTAACCCGGCTAAGAGCCCTGTGATGTGATTTATCCTCTTATGGTGGTGTTTGAAGTGTCATATAACACTTGCTGTAGTGACAGCCTGCCTGTTTGGCTGATGAGGGTAAAGAGGGATATCTGCAATACAGAATTAACCATTTAGAGAAATACTGCCCAGGATCTGTTTGGTTTTTGTTAGCAGCCCTTTTCTCAGTTACCTTTGCTATTTTTATATGTAGTCTCAGTATTTAAATGTCTATTAGCATTCTTGGTTTTAAGATAATTCAAAGAACAAAGAAATGCTGTTCTCTTTTTGCTCTAAGAATAGTTAAGATTCACAGACATACTACAACCTATACTTGTTCACTCTAATTAAAGTGAGGCTGATAGGGTGGGATTAGGCTATACTGTATAGATGTTCATCTTCAAAAAACAGAAGAAAAATCTTCCTCTTCTTTCCTTCTCCTCTCCACCAGCTAGGTGCCCAAAGATGTCCTTTTTTTGTCAGTAGTCATATCCAGAGGAGGTGATTTACTACAGATTGAAATTGGGATTAGAGAAAACACTTTTAAAAAATAATGAAGCACTAGAATGCTATGGCATTGCTGACACTGGAGATCTTTATGAATAAATGAGACGAACACCTGCCAGGAATACTTAGGGCATAAATGGTCCTGTACTGAGACAAGAAAATGAACTAAATCATCATTTCCAGTTAATCTTTTCCAACATGCTCTGATGCAGATGGTTAGTATCTCCACTGAAAGAGATAGGTGCTCCTTGCCAAGGTTGTGCTATGAGATAAGGAAGCTTGTGTTGTTTTGTGATAAGGTAATAAAGGTATGTAGTTTCTCCTGCCATTATGTCATAAATACCAAGGCTAGGTTCATACAAAAGAACACCAAGTAGTGGAAGTTTGAAGAGTTTTTTGCAAACTAGTTCAGCCATCATTTCATAACCTGATACTCAGAATGCCCTGATGTTACAATGACAATCTACATTTAAAAGGATTGTTGAAAACACTGGGGCAATCACCTGGAATGAAGTACAGGGTTTCTAAATAGTGGCTAAATTTGTAGATTTGTCAGAGGTTCAAAAAGTCAAAGAAACTTTACTGAAACTGGTCTGATATTCTAATCCTATTATTTTTCACTGTTTGCTTGTGAGAATAAGGGGGGAGGAACCAAACTGGCAACAAGCACAAATTGCAAAGACTTGAGGGGGAAGGTAAGTTAGTACAAAGCTAAAAAGATCAGTAAGTGGAGGGTCCCTTATTGAACTACTTTTTAATAGTGGCTCTTTATGTAATGAACTGCAAGAGGATACCCAAGGAAAACTAAATATAGAAGAACTAGCCTTTTTTTTTTTTTTTGTTTAATTCCTTAGCAGAACCAAGAGTATTTATTTACAGCTTCTAGTTCAGTGCTGCTCAGCTTTTTGAATCACAGCTCACTCGGTCAGTTAACAATCCTGTCTTGCCCTCACCATTGTGAGTGGCAACTCAAAGTGCATGGAGGGCGAGGAATGGTAAAATGTTTTTACCTAATTGGCTCTGCCATATGCTTTGGAAGTTGAGAAAGCACTGTTTCTAGTAGATCCCAGGAAGACTGTAATTTCATGATGAACCTCTGGTTTAGGTCATAACACAGGCCAATATTGTTTAATAAAAATGTACAAATTGTGGTTTTGTGGTTGCTTTCAGCGTCTGAAGCGTGTAGAAGTGTAAACATTCTTTTTCAAGGTACAAAGCTAGCTGGTTTCATGAGCAATTAATTGTTTTCAAATATTGCCTGATGAGTGTGGAGAAGGGAGGAGAAAGGGAGAAAAGTAGCTAAAATGTTCTAAAATTAGTTTTTTACTTGAAATTAAATCCCCTGGGATTTTTTTTTTCCCTTGCTTTTCCTCTGCCACTTCCCAGAACTCTTTCAGTGTTGTTAAAACGTATGATGCTTATGATGTAACATGTATATTGTGGCAAATAAACCAAGATTCGGGATCTGTCCTTTAATTTTAAACACTATGCCATGATCTTATTTACTTATAATGTATTTCTTATTCCCTCCTTCCATAGAGCCCAGTTGACAATGTGCCTCCGTGCTATCATTAAACATGACTTTCCTGGCCATTGGACAGCCGTGGTAGACAAGATAGGCTACTACTTGCAGTCTCAAAACAGTGGGAGCTGGCTTGGGAGCCTCCTGTGCCTGTATCAGCTGGTGAAGACTTACGAGTAAGTTGATGTCCATGAGTAGGTGAGGAAGCAGTACTTTCAGTCTCAGCTGATTGGTGAGAATGACGTTCTTAAGAGTGTTGGCAGTTCTAGAAGGAATTCAGATAGAAAATAGGAATTAATAATTGTCATATGCTTTCTTTCTGGCAAATAAATGAAAACTATTTGTCATCATTGTATCACCAGTGAACTGAAAGCAGAGATACCAGCAGTAATCAGTATGAATTTGTCTTGAGACTTTTTACTTTTGATCTGATTTAACCCATCTGTGAAAAATTTCTTAACTTCTAGTGTTTGAAGATTCCCCATATGCTGGATATATGAATGCAAATTATTTTCTACTTTTATGTCATGAATACAGTACTGTCATAGTCATATACTCCTATTGCATATTATCTGTACCACCCTCCTGATAGTCTAAATCCACAAAGTGTAGATTAGGAGAAATGTAGTGAGCTCTCTCACTCATTTAAAAGAAAAAATAAATCCATTGTTAGAAATATATGTATAAATTGCACAAAATAGATGTAACTAGAGAATATTTTCCAGACAGAGGAATTGTCTTTCCCTTTCAATGGCTGTTTATTCCATTTGTTCAGCACCCAACTTGGATTTGGCATTGGTACGAATGTCATAGACATTCAAGTCACTGCTCCTGTGAGCTGACATTTCAGTAGTAAAGAATGTTAGTTCTCCCTTCCTATAGCTGCATTCTATATAAGGTAACTTTTGTTGTTTTTCATTTCTCTATTTACAGCTTAGTGAATTTGCACAAATTGTTGGATGAGTGTTAGAGGAGGGGAGAGTGAGTGCTGGATATTAATTATTTATTTTGGGGGTTTTAGGCTACAGAAGTTAAACTGTTGATGGGGAATAGGCGTTAGAATCTCCAGTGTGTAGCTCCCGGACCAACATTTTTGTTTCCTTTGCAGATACAAAAAAGCAGAGGAGCGAGATCCTCTCATAGCAGCAATGCAAATATTTTTGCCTCGGATTCAGCAGCAGATGATCCAGCTTCTGCCTGATAACTCCCATTACTCTGTACTGCTTCAGAAGCAAATCTTAAAAATCTTCTATGCTCTTGTTCAGGTTGGCATCTGTGTAGAGGAAACCCAAACCTTTTTCTTTGCTGGGCACAACGACCCCTTTCAGTACACTCATGGGTGTGATGGAATAAGAATATAGATTTCAATGGGGAAAGTCATGTACAGTAAACAGCTTTTATAAAAATATGTTCTTTATAGATTTTTCTGCTTAAAACCAGCTCACATGATCCCCCAGATTAAATTTTGAATGAACCTAGGAACTTTTGCATATCCTATATGTAAGCTTACTGGAGAAATGTTTGTGTTTCTATAAAGTCACACATAACCTTATATAAATTGTATGGGTATCTAGACTATGCTAGTTGGGCTCTGAAAGTGTCAGTAGTGGGTATTGTAGTATAATTGCCAAATAATGCACTTTAGGAGGTGGCATTTCTCGTTATCTTCTGAAAATGTGGCAGAAATTATTTATTGAGGCACATGCATCTTACATAGATGAGTTTGGCTTTTACAGGGATGTATTTGTTGAGGAAGCACTTTTAGAGAATGAGAAACAAAACAAGATTTTACATAAGGGGCAGCAGGAGAATTCTTACTAGGGGTTAAAAAGCTAACGTAGTTTGTTCTTAGATGGGGGGAGGGTTAAAGAGATCCCAAGATCCTATTTTACTTTTCAGTAGCTTGCCTGAATACTGTCACTTTGCTTTGGATTTTGTAGAGAAGTAAGATTTACTAGATAGTAGCTTGGTAGGAATTAGGAATATATTTTACTTACTGAAATGCTATTGGTTTACCCAAACCCTGTAATACCAACACTACTGTGCTCCCTAAAAGTTAGCTGGGCTATTGTGAAGAAGAGGAGGAAACAAAGAGAGTCAGCAAGTTCTCAGATCAAGGAACTTCCCTCAAACAGTGTCTGCTCAGAAATTCCTCTGTAAATTGTACCGAGAAAGACGCAATTAGAGTAGTATTAATATCTAACCTAATTAGTTTTAATTTTGCTTAAAACCTCATCTTCCTCAGATTGTAACTGCTGTAGAAACATCTACCTTTTTCAGATAAAATCAGTATATCATGACTGCGGTTTTTATTCTTATTTCAGTATGCATTGCCGCTCCAGTTGGTGAATAACCAGACTATGACTCAGTGGATGGAGATCTTCCGTACTATCATTGATAGAAATGTACCTCCAGTAAGTTTTAGTTTTGTGAAGACCTCTGATACTTGTGCGTTGGCATTTGAGGAACAGTCAGTGTGAAGATTTTCTAAGTGTTCTTTTTTTAAAAGGTCATCTGTTTAAGAATCTTGTCCTTGGAATAAATGGTCTTTCTGACCGAAATGCAGGAAGATCATGTAAGCTGTCAGAATTTCATTCTCTGAGGTAGCTACACCATGTAACCTCCAATCTGGGATATTTGCAAGCTTCCAAGTATTTTAGCTAGGTTCTCTCAAACACGAAGCAAAAGCGCATCATAAACCTGTCATTTCTCTCTGTTCCTCTTTTTCTTTCACCCATCTTTCACATTTCTTAAAGAGCAAAACCAGTAATTAAATTCTTGTTTGTGTATGTACAACATTAACTGGCATTTCCTCAATTTTTTATACATTTATTTCACAACCGTAACATTAGTTTAATAACTTTTGCATTAGTATATGGTTAGGGTGTATATATTTGGAGGAGTTAGTATCATGCATAATTTTTAAGCCAGAGTGCACACCACTGTGTGGTATTCAAGTATATCTAAGAGTTTCTGGTTGTAAACATGCATATTTCTGAATATTAAAGTACAGGCATTGTGGAGGTATTGCACTTACACAGTTACATTGACTAATAAAGGTATTTGAAAGTTTCTGAATGTTGTATAGCTGTTAACAAAACCAAAGTTTTTGGTTGGTGCTGTACATGTGTATTAGTTTACTCAACAAGGAACATTTAGAGCATCATTTATCTCAACAATACACACAGCTAATTTAAAATAAATGTATTTATTTATAGGAGACTTTGCAAATTGATGAAGACGATAGACCGGAGCTGGTGTGGTGGAAATGCAAGAAGTGGGCATTGCATATTGTAGCTCGGCTTTTTGAAAGGTAACAAACTAACAAACTGATTAGAAACTAAATTTGGGTTACAAATATGTAATATTACTTGAGGTGCAATTAAACAGGACAGTTTAGTTGATTTAACTGCTCGTGGTCATGGAAGAGGCATTCTCTGCTGCTATCCTCTGCCTTGCACTGGCACAGCCACCAGTCTGAGCTCCTACTGGAATGATTTAACTCTTAAGATGGCAAGAAACGATTTGACTCTTAAGATGGCAAGAAACTAGCCCCATGGAAGAAGAACATTTTTTAGAATTTACAGATTTTTTTACTACATCCAACTACAAGTACTTATATTCTCTAATATAAAGGCAGGGGAAGATTTGAAAAGGAATCCAGAAACATGGAAGTTACAGAGCTTGTGACAAAAAGGTGGCTATATTTACTTGACTATGGTATTGTACATTATGATAATCTAAGAAAAGGGAAATGGGCCATTATATGGGAAATAATGGCTTAGAAGGAACCTGCATAAGAGGATTTCTTTGGGAATGGAAGGCTGTGCAGGGTCCCTTTGTTTTGGAAAGTACTGTGTTTTCCTGGCACAATAGAATTCTTAAAATGTAAATATTTGCCTCCTCTTTTTAAAGGTATGGAAGTCCTGGGAATGTGACTAAAGAATACTTTGAATTCTCAGAGTTTTTTTTAAAAACCTACGCTGTGGGCATACAGCAGGTAAGTACAGTTCTTTTGTTTCTGAATTAAATCGTTTTGGCTGAAGAATTGTATTGCTTTTCAACAGTGTGCTCGTATCGAAGTTCATTCGTGAAACAAAAATGAACAGAGTCAGGCAGGTCTTCCTTTTAGTTATTGAGAGGTCCTTTAGAACTCAGTGCTGTACAGCTGAGGTACCTAACACAAGTTTTCAGCAATTCAAACAACCCTGCAGGAAAATTCTCAGAAAAGGTGAGTGCTGGTGAAATGGTATTATCATGTATGAACATTCTAGATACAGGTGAGAGACAGAACTATTGATGCAGAGCCTTCACGTCGCCTCACCATAGAAGGGTGTATTTTCAGGCCAGCCTTTAGTAAGTGCTTTTGTTGCAAACAATTTAGGCACAGTAATCCAATGATACTGTTTTCTTTCAGGAAGATAAAGCAGATTAGAAGGTGTCTGGAAAACAGCAGTGAAAGTGATTTTATACTTGGGAGACATATTTTATAAAGATACAGCATAAATTCACAGTTTGCAAGGAAATTTTTGTTGGAGAATGCTAATTATTTGTGATTAACATGGTATCGTGGAGACAGTTCAGTTCTGATAATGCTGCATAGACCAGAGGCAATTAATGTCAGAATTTTCTGTGGTTTTCTGCCAGCTCAGCTGGGTACCCCTGCGAATGTGGGCTTCCAGCATCAACCTGGTTTGGTGGAATGGCTGTAGTGATCTGGTGCCTGAAAGCCCTGATAGTGCTGGCTCGCAAGCTTGGATATTTTTGGCACAGCTCCTCCTGTTTCTTACGCAGCCTACCATATACTATATGACTAGAAGCAGTAGTTCTCAGGCTTTTGGCTCAGCTAAAGCTCTTGAGTGTTCAGGTTTTTGGGTTACGTATTCCAAAAAGGCTCTTAAGAAGCCAGGAGACTGCAGTACACTTTCCTTCTGGTGATCTGGGCTCTTGATTCCCTTTGACCTGTAAATCTTGAAAAACACCTGGGAACAATATTTTTCAAGTGACAAATGTTTGGATAATCTATATTTCCAGAATATGTGGCTGCTCAGCATGCTGCCAGATGAAAAATCCCTGACATGGCATCTTTAAGCTTCTTACAGTTTAAATTCAATGCAGGGTGCCAGGCTGTTGTTACAACTTCAAGTCAAATTTAAACTAGATTTCAAAATACCAGGATTGTCTGCAAAACAAAATTACTTTTCTCCATCCTGTTTGATGATAGAATAGTTTATCCACCAGTGTATTAATTCTGTGTAAATATGTAAATGTTAAGAACCAGGGAGAGGAATGGTTGTGATAAGGCTGTAAGCATTAAATTTAAAGGGACACAGTCTAACATCTATTCTAAACTTGCAACGTTTAACTTCTAAGTGGAAAAGTAAAATCCTGTGAGCGGTTGTAATTTGAAATACTTAAAGTTCATCTGCTAAAGCGATTAGGCTATGTAGCAGAGGGAGCAGTTTGGCTTTCAAGATAAATGGACTGGGGCCATCTGCATGTTTCTTCCATTTCTGGCTCTTAAATGCTGATTTGTCATGTTTTCTTGCAGAGTTAGTAAGAACTCTATTGTGAAGATTACATTACTAAGCCTTCATTAGTTATTTATCAGTTGTAAAGTGCTGACATCGTGCTAGAGTCTATATGAGATATAGACAATTCTTGCCTAAGGAGTGTATCGTATAAAAGACTTAAGATTAGACTTGGTACTCGTAGTGAGGGAGTTATATTCAAAATAAGATCTATTATAATGTTCTGAAGAATTATGAAGCAGAATTGTCTTTCTGAAAATACATGACTCAATATTTTGTTATACATTGCCCTTGATTTTTATTGGTTTTTGTGTACATGACAGTTCTGTACACTTACTAACACTTAATGGTTCATCTACCATTAGTGCGGATTAGTGGCTTTGTTCTGTAGGTTTTTCTTAGTAGAGCAGGCCTTTATATAGAGGGAGCTTTTTGTGATAGAATTTGTGATAACATGCTAGGTGATACTCTCTGATGGTTACAAAAGGGAGTTGAAGTTAAGGGTTTTGCATGTCTTCTGATTCACAGATTTAGGCACTAACCTATTTTTCTAGGTAGTGTTTCTATTCTTATCTCTGTTCTTCCTAAGTAATTTTTCTTCTTTAGGGGCCTGTCCTTAAAAAATGAACACAGACACTACTAGCAGATTTAGCAGCCAACCAGTTTGAAAATCTCACTGTGCCTTTTCCTTACATATTCCAAATTTTGCTGAAGCCTGCGTAAACTGAGAGCCTGTGAATATTGAAGTGTACCTTTGGTTTACTATCACAATTGATCACATGGAGGGGTTAGTAGTAAAGGTAGACATGTACATAGATGCTTGCAGTATTATATCCTTAATATTTAAATGTTTTCTGATTTTCAGATCAAAGGCATTACTGTGATTACTAACACTAGAACCTCTGCTGTAAACTAATTAATCTCTCCATGTGCATTTACTGAAGAGATTCACTGCATGTCTGTGCATGAGAATTTTAATTTAAAAATATCAATTTGTCATCTCTTTAGGTTCTTTTGAGAATCTTAGACCAATACAGGCAAAAAGACTATGTTGCGCCACGTGTTCTGCAGCAAACATTAAATTATCTGAACCAGGGGGTTATCCACTCTGTAACATGGAAGCAAATGAAGCCACACATACAGGTGAGTGTATAAAACCCAGTTGTAGACACTGCATGTCATCAGAGAGATTAAAAAAGCAACAGAACAACACCAGCAGTTTTGCAGTTTTAGAGAAGGTTTCATGCAGCAATTGATCTGGGCAAAAAATAACATTTCTGCATGAATGTGGTTGTTTTTTTCAGTATTGTAACTACGTTTTAGTGCAGATATTGTTAACTCAACTAAAGATTCTGTTCCATATTTGTATTTTTGATGTTTGCCAGACAGTCATAATGTTCTGTCTTTTATTAGTTATTAGTGTTTTGAATTGTCTATAAATTTAGAAAGTCATGATTGATTAGATAATAAGGAAGAAATTCTTCACTGTGAGGGTGCTGAGATACAGAGGAACAGGTTGCTCAGAGAATCTGTGGCTGCCCCATTCCTGTGGCTGCTGTCTGGGACTGTTGCAAAAGAAAAGTGTATTGTAAGCTTAATTCTGTTGGCCAAAATTAAAGAACACTGGTTAAAAGAATTTCACTCTTCAGAAAAGTAGGTCTAATAAATTAGTGCATAGTGAAGGGAACGTGTACTGGAATTTGATTTTGTGTGTACTTATGTGTATTTGACTTCTCTAATATTAGAGTATAACAGAAGAAGTGATATTCTCTCTAATGTGCTACAAAGATGAGGATGAGGAGCTATGGCAAGAGGATCCATATGAATATATCCGCATGAAATTCGGTAAATGTTTGTGTTTATTTTTTTGCTGTCATCGTAACTGCACTATCGTCCCAATTAAGAGCATGGCCACTGTAATGTCTTTGTCTTCACCAGTGTCCTGAACTGGAGGAAGAAAATTCAGTTTCTTAAATTGCAGTTAATCTGAGTTAAAAGAAGGCAGCAGATCAAGTGAGTTTTGGCCATTTGGCTGGTAGCTTTAAATGATTCTCTTAACATTTTTTTTCTACTTGACATGTGTTCAGTGCTGCCCAAATAGACTAGTTTGCCCACTTCCTAATGCCAGTTTCAGAATCTCTTGCAGCTCTCGCTTTGACCAGAAGAGGCCCGACTTGCTCTTCGCTACTGAAAATTGTTAATGACTTCAGAATTTTTCCCAATTATTATTGCTAAATTGTAAGATAATTACATATATGTATTCTTTCAAAAGACACAGTACAAAATCATGGTAATATCACATAGGGCCATATTATGAATAACTACTTTTATTAAAAGAGTCATGTCATTGAAATAGAGAAAGGTATGTTAGAAATACAGCATGTATTTTTTCCAGCATATGTGGCTGGAAAAATTCCTTAAGCCAGGCACCACAGAGATATGTAGCATTTGGGAATTTTTAATTAATTGATTTGGGATTAATATATGTGAAAACAGAATTTAAATGTTCATAGAATAGTTAAAACTTCGGAGAGTTGTTATACAAAGAATTAATCACAATATAGTGTTGATCACTGACATACAAATACATTGCTCATTTTTAGTATGTGAATTCAGTTCATGCTGTGTAAGTAGTGAATCCTATTTTTATATGCAGTGAGACTGTTAAATATCGTGAAAGGTAAAAAAAAGAAACAAGCATGAAGTTCCATTGAGCTGAAGTTTAGAGATGCGTGTTTGGGTTTGGAACAGAATTCCGGTAGTTTGGTAGTATTTCTTCATCATGTTTTATCTTCAGGTTCTCAGGAAAAGTTAGTGCGTAATTTTAACTTCATTTTAAGATTACATTTTTTTAGATCTTTTGTGTAGGGACATTTGGATTAGAACATGTCTGGCAACACAGATGTTTTTTTTCCCAAGATACAAATGATATTTTCAATATGATTAAAGGAGGTTTACTTGTAATGAATGAAGCTAAAAAGCTTCAACTTTCAGCAGATTTAGAACTACCCCATATCTGAGTAGTTTTTAGAAACAACAAGTTTCCCATGAGGTTTTAATAAAATCAAGCCAGAAAAGTGTGCGTATGGTATACGTACATCTGTAGATGGTACTGAAATGTATTGTTGGTTTTCCTATAGTAGTTTTAATTAAAAAAAACCAAAAAAAACCCCACTGTTTTTCATCCCTGAAATGCATTGTCTCAAAGAATTCATGAATAAATTATGCATCCCTAATAAAGGGAATGATGAGTGGTCAGTAGATCAGGAAGGCAAGAGGTAAATGCTTTCATAAACTGCGTGACTTTGATCTGACTCTTTAACTGTGAAGGCAACTCTTGTCAATAGTTTTGAAGTTACATCTTCAGCCTGATTTTGTCATATCCCACAGACAAGATAGATTATAAAAGTTTTATTATTATGTCATTCAGAAACTGATTTTTAATTTGTTAGATGTATTTGAGGATTATGCATCCACTACAACAGCAGCACAGAATCTCCTTTATACTGCTGCGAAGAAGAGAAAAGAGGTATGGAACTGGTGCTTCTTAATTATTTGAAGTTTCCTTAATAATGTAATTTTCACTTAAATTTGAAGATGCTCCAGGGAGCTAGTCTTGAAAAATCTCCTTGGTAATACATAGTCAAATGCTTTCCTGGCTGAGTGCTATCAATATTGCGTGAATTAAAATATATGTGTATTTATAAATAAATAAGTGGATTCCTCTTGCAGCCAGATATGAACTGAGCTGGAATAGATGTACTGGTATTTTCCCAAGTTTACAAACAGCCTCTGTCACGGATGTTCTGAGCTTCCCAAACTGAAGCTGGGGGAAGTGAACTTGATCCTTACTAGTTTTCACTGATGCTATTTTAAATCCTGTTGACAACAATGAAATTAGCAAGAATGAAAGCATTTTCATAGTTACTCTTTAAATGAGGATATAACTTTTCTGTAGATCTTTCTATACTTACAAAATCTGTATACTTATGTAATCTGTGCAAAAGATTGCCAAGCCCTGGAAAGCATATGCCAGTTTGCTAAAACTGCAAACCTTTCTCTGGATACCATTTTAACATCCAGTAAACATGGAGCTCTTTTTCCGGTAGATTTTTAGAAAAGAGCATAGTCTTTATGTCAGGTGAAATAGCCGGTGATCTTTCTTCTTTATTGTCAAAACAGTCCTTGCCTTTCTCATTTTCATAATTTGTACTGAGACTGTCAAAATGTCATAGTATCTGAAAGGCACATAATGGGTGTGAAAATGACATTAAACAATTAGTTTTGCCAAGAAGCCTTTCAAAGTCTAGTCAACTTCAGAAATTGCTGACAAAAGCCACAGATTAAAATAAGTTTATGAGGTTTTAGTCCAAGCTGTTCTTGAATATGTTTATGTTCATACATATATGTACACACATGTATGTGTCTATATATATATGTGTGAGACAATAAAATGCGTGTGATACTGTTTGGGCCGCTTGCCTTTTCATCACCTTTTTTGATTTACCTCAAGACAACAACAAAAATACCTATTTAATATAACTAATGTGAAATTTCAAGGAGATTAATTCTAACAAGTTGGGCTGAAAAGTTGAAAAAGGAAGCTTCTAAATTTTAGCTATGGAAAGATGCTACACATAATACCTCACAGTATTTCTTTGGCAAAGATGAAATTTCTACTTGAAAATGTCATATGAATTTTTTAACTTGAAGAATACTATTAAAATTGACAAAAGAAGATTGTACGTTTTCTGTCTTGCATAGGTACTACCAAAAATGATGGCATATTGCTACCAGATTCTGACAGAACCAAACATTGATCCAAGGAAAAAAGATGGAGCTTTGCATGTTATAGGATCCCTAGCAGATATTTTACTAAAGGTATGTGAGTAAAGAAGTGAAAAAGGTTTGTAATTCTTATTATCAACTCCCTTTTCCAATAAAAAAGTCTTAGCTGATAAAGTGCTGCTAGCCCTTAGCCATGTTTATAAAGTCTGTAGAGAGACTGCACTGTGTGGTAAGAATCTGAAGGTTTGTTTCTTTACGAATATTATCATTCTTTCTTGGTTTTTAAATTCCCATTTTATAGGCATACTTTTCTTCTCGAGTTTCTCCAAAGCACTGTTTGTTTACTCTCCTACTTTACAAGTAAATTGAAAGGGTGTTAAAAAAGCAAACATGCATTCCATCAATAACATTTTTATGATTCTTCAGCAAACTGCCCAACAGCCTGCACTATTGCGGGCTGCTTCTGGTTCCAGAAAAACGTTTACGTAACACGTTGCAGGAATGTTTTGTCTAGCTTCACAGCTTTCTTACCCTGCAGTGTGTGGCTTTAAGTCTTACTTTATCAGCCAGTTGTGGGTTTTGAAAGTAACTGGACAGAGCACGGAGTTTCTAACCTTCCTCCAATTTTTATACAGTGCCTTCAGAATTTTGAGTATCTGTTGGGAATTTGAATATACATCTAATCTACACTGTTGCTTTCCAATGTAATATTGATTACAGTTTCCCTTACGCTTTTGTAGAAGGTGGAGTCTAAAGTATGCCCTATCTCTATGATAACTGCCAAAAAGTTATCACTTTTGTCATGAGAATGGCAGCCTTGTGCTGGAGGCTTCCTTTTAAAAGTAATTTATTCTATGTGACTTGTCTCTCTGCGCAGGATGTGTCATCATGTTATGAGCAACATTTTACCTACATTTGCCATCTATTTTTCACCAATGCACCAATCTATAATCTGATCTGAAACATCAGTAACTTTTGCAGAATTTTTGTCAACTACTTTGGATTGTAAATGCTCTCTCTCATGCTGGAGTATAACAGTGGACATTGTTACAGGAGGACATTGTTCGTGTTGTGAGGAGAACAACATGATTTCATATTGATTGGGGGTTTCTAAACCCATTTATCACTGTCCTGAGGGGAAAAAAAGGATTTATTCCCTTATTTGAAATTTTCAGTCTTGAAACATGAGGTTATAATATACTTTATAAAAGAGTAATAAACCCCAAACATTGCAGACTCCTCTCAGCTCTGAATTTCTTGTGTTTGGGATTTGGCAGATTGAAAAATTCCATTATTTGTTTCTGTATAAAATACTTGATTAGTAAGTGCTTTCTGGCTGGTGAGCTGACTGAGATAAGATTATAAGGAGCTCTATAAAACACAGTGACCCTGCTTTAGCCACCTGATTCCCTGCAGTGGCTCCGGTTTAATGCATGAAAATCTCTGACCTGTGTGCACAAAGGAAATTTCTTTTCCCTTCTCTGTGTTTTTTTTCTCTGCCCAGTTTTTCATCTGCCTCTCTGAAGGTTGGGGAATTAGTGTGGGAAAAAATGATGTATGCGTTGGTGAAGTAAAAGCGTGATCATCCAAGATAAATTTTTGTGTTGAATGTCCCTTTTCTCCCTTTTTCCTATCTCAGCCATTGAATCATTCCTTTAGATGGTAACACAGTTCTCAGTATATACCTTTTCTAGTGTTCCAGGGCTAGAGGTGCTAGGAAAACCCCAGGTCTCCATGCTGGTGGTCTTGGTTTCCTATGAATATCTTGGGATTTGCCAAGGTTTGAATAATAAAAGATTATTTTCATTGATTATCCTCCAGCCTTCTATCACAAATGACTTATCTTAGTCCATTAATAAACAAAAAATGATGTGAGTTATTGCTGTAGTGTGTAAAATAATTAGTTTAGATGTTGATAGTAACAGTAGGTAATTAGAAACTCAGATCTGTTTCATACTAAGCTTATATTTATCTTCAGGTATGTGTGTACTCCTCTGTAGAAAGAATGGAAGTACCAGCTTATTGATGCTAATTAATTTTTAAGAAAAATCAGCTGGAATCAATTGCCTTAAAATGGAAACTCCAGTTTACAGTATTGTAATGAGTTGAATATTATATGTACAGTTCATTTATCTGGCTTTGAACTTGCTATGCTTATAAGGTTTATTCAGTTCAAGGTATGAGATCCAGATCTTTGTGTGAGACAATACCTTTATTGCATAGACAAATCATTGTATTTTGCATGGTTGGTAGTTGAAATGGAATATTGGCTAGAATGAAGTATGTAAAATAAATGATCTCCAAAATTGATTTTTATTTACACCAACAGAAGAGTGTCTTCAAGGATCAAATGGAGCTGATGTTACAGAATCATGTTTTTCCATTGTTCATGTCTAACTTGGGGTACCTCAGAGCTAGAGTAAGTTCACAAGTTATATCACTATTTCAGTATTTGCCATGATTCTTTCCTTTGCAGTTTGACTTTATTCTTAATGAACGAAATAAAGCAAATGCATACTAAAATTTCAGGTAACAACCTTGTACAGTAATTTTTCAGCATTTTGATTTAAAAATGGTTTGTCAGTTAAATGAATTGATGGAAAGTTTCTTAAATTATTGTTTGCCTTTTTGATTGTGGCCCTTCTGTGATGATTTTTCTTTAGTAGATCTCAAAAACTAGAGTGGTTGGATGACTGTGTAGAATAGATAGGACTTCCACAGAGTAGGTAATGTCAGTTTGGGTGTAGCTTGAAGAAAATCCCTGATTGCCCCTATCAGAATAAATAAACATTTAATTTTCTTTAATTTCTGTTGTGGTTTTTCCCCCCAGAAGGACCAAAATTATGATGCCAATTATGTCCATAGTGTATTTATAGGATTTGAGAAAGGAAGATAAAGAAGTGGAAGTGTACAAGGCCAGGTTGGATGGGACTTTGAGCAACCTGGTTTAGTGGATGGTGTCCCGGGCCGTGGCGGGGGGGTTGGAACTAGGTGATCTTTAAGGTCCCTTCTAACCCAAACCATTCTGTGATTCTATGAACTGTTTGAGTGCAAAACCTGTTACATTTACTGTAGGAATACACTATAATTAAGAAAGAAAAAAAAAAAGGCAATATGTGCAAATAGAGATAATTAGCATTGGTTTTGTATCAGTTAAAAATTGCTAAAATTTGTAGTAGTCCCTAAACTTGCTTTTTATTTTTTTTTCCATCATGCAGTCCTGTTGGGTACTTCATTCATTCAGTGCTTTGGAATTTCACAATGAGCTAAATTTGAGGAATGCAGTAGAGCTGGCAAAGAAGAGCCTGATTGAAGATAAGGAAATGCCTGTCAAAGTAGAAGCAGCCATAGCTCTTCAGACGTTAATAAGCAACCAAGAGCAAGGTATGCTACAGTGATTCATTCGTTGCATACACTGATGAGGAGGTTAGTGTAGATTTATCTAAACATTTCTGCCTTTTGAAACAGTAGAGTTCAGAACATTTCATCATCTTTAGACAGCTTCACTTGCCCATTAGTTGCTGTATACATCCCAGAATTCTGACTTCAAGTTTTTGCTGCAGGTCTCTGCACAAGAGAAGTTAGAATCAGCGTATTTCTTTTAATAAAGTAAATAGCACCTGTCTTCATTTTTCTTTGGTGAAGAGGAATAGCTTGTATCTTTAAGAATGAATGGTGGCATGTGTTCCCCCAAAACAGTGTATTTTAGTTGTAGATGATGTTTAAGTATTGAATGTGGTAAATTATTTACTTTGTTAGTTTACTAGTTATGGGCTGCAAAAGTGCCTTGAGTAGGTTTTTTGGCTTTTGGGATTTTTTTTAGTGAATTAACTTTTAAAAATTATGTTGTTCAGGAGTAGTCAGTTACATAATAGTTTTGAGATACTGGATGTTTGTGTTTGTGGACGGTTGATTTCACATAGTTTTATTTGGATTTTTTTAGCCAAGGAATATGTGAAGCCTTATGTAAGGCCAGTTATGCAAGAGCTCTTGCACATTGTTAGAGAGACGGAAAACGACGATCTTACTAATGTAATCCAGAAGATGATCTGTGAGTACAGTCAGGAGGTAGCTACTATCGCTGTTGACATGACTCAGCACCTGGTAAGAGGCAATGGTAAAAATAACAGTCCAGTCAGAAGCACATGCCTAGTTTGGTAACCATGTAATGAACTTTCTTTGAAGTGTACGCTGTTTAAAGTAATCTTTATAAAGGTCCACCTATAGCATTCACTCTGTTCATTTCTGTATGAAGTATCTTTACAACCTGCAGGTTTTCAAAGATACTGAATTTTGCCACTCATTTTAATGAGCCAATCTTTTACCTGTTTAATATTTCAAATGATGCAACATAGCCAGACTTCTCAAAAAGGAGGAGTTTTTAATTTTCTGTATTCTTCTTTCAAAAGTAAGGAACGTATTTTTCAGTGCTGACAGATCTTACTGATAAGGCATTGCTGCTGTTGCATCAACTGTCTTGGTTTTGCATGATGAATTAGAAATGTGAGTTTGCACTTGAAATCGAGTTGGTTGGCTTTTTTCATAGGCTGAAATATTTGGTAAAGTACTTCAGAGTGAGGAATATGAAGAAGTAGAGGACAAAACAGTTATGGCCATGGGCATCTTGCACACCATTGACACAATCCTGACAGTTGTGGAAGATCACAAGGAGGTGAGATATTTTAATACGTCTTTTCTCCTGCTGTTCCTTTATGCCTTTTATTCATGACAACAAGCGCTTCTATGTATGTTGCATCTCTTGAGTTGATATGAATGTGCATTTAATATAGCAGTATGGTGAATTAGTACCAACTAGTCTCTGAAAAATTTGCATTTAAAGCCCAGTTTACTTTTATGATTTTCTAACTGTTGAACTCTCCACTTTGAGGGAAATTTATATCTTGAAGGTAAAATTCTTAGCTCTTATTTTGGTAAATACTTAATTAGATATTTGTATTACAGACAGTTGAAATAGATTTTCAGGGAGAAATATTTTGCATAAGGCTAATTTTTTACAGTGGTGACTCATATTTTGTTGTTTTCTCAGCAATTTCTTGGATAGAATTCCTAGGAACTGGTCTCCCAATTGTGGTGCAATGTAAGTCTGTGTTTCACATATTCAGGGAAGAAAGATTCTGCTCATACCACTTGAACTGACAGAGATAGTTCAGTGACTGATCCAGGAGGCAAAGTCAGTCAGTCAGTAACTCTAAGCTCAGTTGGCATAAAAGTGCTTTGTCCTAGATTGTTTTGCTTCCTTGTTTTACAATGAGAAGGTTTCATTGCAAGTGTGAAATCTTTTTATGAAGCTTATAATTTTGAAAATAGATTCATTAAAATACTAATTATTTTCTTGTAAGACCATTGTGTTCCTTTGGATTTCAGAATATCTTTCATTTCTTTACAAGAACCCCTTGCATCTTTTGAAAGCTAAAATGAAATCTGGTAGCTAAGCTGAGCATCAGGAATGATAGTCTGAAGTGGATCTTCAGGATTTAACCTAGGGAAAATTTAGGGGTTGGTGTAGTTTTAGTGTAAGTTTAGCAGCTTCTTTCTGATGTGTGAAGCACAAACTAAACTATTGTACAGACTGCTCTTCATCTTAGGATCTTAAATAATTTTAGAAGTGATATAAATGATATAGAAGTGACCTAAGAGACTGAAAACTCCTGAGTATGGAGAGAGTTTAGAGGATGATAATTACTAAGTCAAATGTCTGAAGGTAAGCGGATGAATCTGTGGTCGCATTGTTAATCCCTTTGCTAGAACAAGCCCAGAAAGCTTGGCACCCTGCAAGATTATGTCTGTAATTACCTGTGGTAGCAGCATGACATGTCTGTATTTTTTGTCTTTAATTAGAACTATAATGTAGCTATATATTTCTAATTTAGTTTAATTCATAAATGTAGTCTCTCTGTCTAACATGGCAAGGCTGAATCCTGACTTCGACACAGTTGTATGCTCTGAATTTCTGCATGAGCCTCCTCTTGCTGAGCCTACTCTGGGAAGCTCTCCATAGACATTAGGCAAAAGCATCTTTTCCTTTCTTCCTGTTCTGCTAAGTTTTTGGACAGAGGATTTATCTTAAACACTTAAAGTACAGTGTTACTTCATATCCAGACAGGACAACAGATACAGTCTTTGACAGGATCTGTAGAACAACCATAAAATAAGATTTTTTTTTTAATAGAAAGAAAAATGCTGTAAGTGACAAGCTTTAAAGCAATACTGTTTATTGAAAATTAATACTTACATCAGTGAGACCTTATTTCATAGTATTCCGATGATTAATTCTTTAAGTGATAAAAGCCTTTTTGCTTTGAAGAACTTGTCAAACTGACTTAGTCAAATACATTGATTAAATGACTGTATTTCTAAGTTTTTAAATGAACTTCTTTTGTTTTTATTTCAGATAACTCAACAGCTTGAGAGCATTTGTTTACAGATTATTGGCCTTGTTTTGCAGAAACATGTTATAGGTATGGTTTAGAGATAATTTTTAGGAAAACGTTATATATTTCTACGTAGAAAAAAAATCTTAAATTTATTATTGCAAACAGTATTGTCTTCCTCTGAACCATCTTTTTTGTATGTGTGCTTCTTCAAGAAAAAAGACATTAATTTTCATTTATGATTTGTTTCTCCTGATCTCTTGTACATTAGGATGGTTATTGTGTTTTGGAGGTCAGACTCAAAAGTAGAAGATGCAGTTCTGATTATAGTTCTGGCTAGCTGTGTTAAAGGGCAGTATCTGCAATTACATTTGTGTTTTAAGGACATGGGCTGCGATGAAATTACTGCTTTATCAGTACCCTTGACTAAAGAGCTACACAGTTTGTGGATAAGACCTTTAAGAAAAAACAAAGGTTGAGGGAAGAAAATATTTTTCAGTAAATTGTTTAGAAGCAACGTCTTTGTGCTGGTATTCTTCTGGTGTGTATTTGCTATGGAAAACTATGCATATCATTGTAACTATAGGCAACATAAAGCTCATCTAAAGGAGTCTTTTCCAGTTTGTATTATTTTTATACATATTGACTTAGTTACTAACTGCTATATTCTAGTTGTTATATGACTCGGGGCTTGGTGTCAGATTTCAAGGTATTAGCAAGCTATTTTTGTTTTTCAAAGCACCCTACTTCAGATTGTTTCTCCTTTCCAGAGTTTTATGAAGAAATTCTCTCACTGGCCTACAGCTTGACATGCCAGATGATTTCACCTCAGATGTGGCAGCTTTTGGGTGTTCTATATGAAGTTTTCCAGCAGGATTGCTTTGAGTACTTTGCAGGTATGATCACTTCTATTGATGTTTCTACTGTTTGGGAATTACTTTCTAAAACCCACTTTAGTAAGGGCCGTTTCCATTTAATGTTTTGGTTTAAAATGATCATATATTTGAGTCATGCCCTGACCGTCTGTTTAGTGTGGGAGTATAACAGCGTATTTAAGTTGGAGAAGCATGCTCAAATCTGTCAGTGTGATCAGTTATCGTAGGAGGTCCTGAACTCAAAGAAAGCTGAAATACACAAAGTTAATGTGAAACTACAAATTAATTAATTAAAATTCTGTTTCCTTTTCTGACAATGCACGCTGCATGGTGCACTTTATGAAGAATTCTTCTAAATAGACTTTTGCAGAGTTTGAATTTCCACATTTCCTCCCATATCCAAGAATCTGAGCTAATGAATTCCATTACAGGACTGCAGCCTCACTGGTTAGCACTTGGATGGATTAGTTTGTAATTTTTTTCTCTTCTGCTCTCCCTGTTTTGCAGATATGATGCCTCTCTTGCATAATTATGTGACCATTGACACTAATACTTTACTGTCTAACCCAAAGCATTTAGAAATCATTTATGCTATGTGTAAAAAGGTAAGGCTTCTCATTCTTACTGTTGACCTTATCATTGGTACTTAACAATCAGATTAGCAGAGTGACCCGAACATGTCAGGTGGCTGGCAGTCGTTTCAGAATGAAATGAAATTTGGTCTCGGCTCAGTTCCGAGAACACATAGCACTTTCACACTTGTTAAGTGACATGCTTTTAAATAAATTACATGTACAAATCTGTGTGGGAGAGAGTTGCTGTTCGTCTTGACTCTCTTTTATGAACAGCTATTTTGGTAAGTAGAGGAATTAATGAAGCTTGGTTTCCTTGGGTTGTGTATCTGCAATTGGATTTCTCTAGTTATCAGCTAAGGTGCGAACTCATTTGAAGTTCTTCTTACATTTATGTTTCTCTTCTATGCTGATTCTCTCATCTAAAATAAAGTATGAGATCACGCTGCAGCCTTTCTCTGAATTTAGGCATTATAGAGTGTTAGGCATCTAGCTACCATCTTACTTTTAAGAAACTTATGGAAATTCAGGGTGTTTGAGAATTCTGCTTCATCAGGCTTGATTGACACTGACCATAGAGTTGAAATATACTGAAAAGAAGCAGTCAGTTTCACATGTATGTGCATACATACACGTTAGTTTCACATGTGAACCTATGTATACGTGTGCAGTGATTGCATACACCTTCTTTTTAATCAGCAACTAGCCTAAAGATAGGACTTCACTTTGCCAGGCTGCTAATCTACCAGTGTCAGAATTAAAGTAAAAAAAGAGAAACAGAATGTGAAAAACATCAATGTTTCTTGTAAGTAGCATTACCTTTAGAAAAGGGTAAGTGATGACGTATGGAGAATACTAACATTCATAAAGAGCTATAGCAATTTCTTCAAAATTTTTAAATTCATCTTTAGCCACTTATTCTTGGTTATGTCCTGGAGAGACGATTTTTTATGTGTCTTAATTCCTTCACAAAATATAACATGAATAGATACGTATATGCTATGTAGAGGGTTTTGTATGCAGGTACAGGAGCACACTTGATTTCAAAGTTATCAGTGATTCTTACTGATAAACTAAATTGTCATCCTGGTTGTTAGGTATTAACAGGAGATGCAGGAGAAGATGCAGAGTGCCATGCAGCCAAACTCCTAGAAGTAATTGTTCTTCAATGCAAAGGACGGGGTATTGACCAGGTGATATATATTGAACAGTTTTTCTCTTTTACTGGTTTCCAATGATGTGTGTGTGATTCCTGAGAAAAGCAGTTGGAATTGGAGAATTGAGGTAAATGTAAAGTGTAGAAATGAGGAGAAATACAGAAAGAAGTAAAGGAACAAAGGAGAGTTTGTAAGGTTGGTTGTTTTATTTGTTTGTTTGGGATTTTTTGATATTACAGATTAGTGGGCATGACCTGAAAATCATAGAATAGTTAGGGTTTGAAAGAACCTTAAAGATCATGTAGTTCCAACTCCCTTGCCATGGGCAGGGACACCGCACGCTAAAGCATGTCGCCCAAGACTCCATGCAACCTGGTCTTGAACACTGCCAGGGATGAAGCATATGAATACAGAAGATGAATACAGACTGAACGATTAGGATAGAGTATGATGTGCAGGATGGTCTTGTTTTGATTTTTCCTCCTAGGATTTCCTTTTTGATTCAAAACACACATTGTTAAATAATTGTGGCTGAGAGGTTAACTGTACATATCCAACTACTGAAATTGTTTCTCCAGGCAATATGAACTTGTTGCTTTTTAATATTTTGAATTTCTCAGCTCATTTGGAAATAAAGAATTTTTAGTGTGGCTGGATCGTGATTGCTGGGAAAAACATAATCACAATTGTTCAGAGTTTCTTAGAACACGCTTTCAGTGTGCAGTCTTTTTCCTATTAAGGGCTAAATTCTGGTCTTATGTTTTACATAATGCTCCAGTCTCAATTCGTTAACATACCATATTTGATGTTGCCACAGTGGAATCCGTGGACTTCAGTAATAAATTTTCAGTTAATTTCACTGAAACCAATATAACTTCACTAATTTAAATCTGAAGTAACTGAAGATAAAAATGTTCTGTGAAAGGTTTTATTTTTAAAGGAAATCTGGAAAGAATGAAAATGAACTGTATGCATTTGCACTGAAATAAGTGTGGTGGAAGGCTTAATTGATCTCCACAATTCTGTGAATTAAAATGGTTGCACACTGAACTGAAACTCATAAACTAAAAAGTTCGTAACGCTTCCCAAATTATTATAAAGCATAGACCTGCACATTGAAATATAGATATTTGTTTCATTGTGTAGAAATTTGTGCATACTTGCTTTTATCTGAATAAATTCACTCATTTCAAACTTTTATAAGACATCTAACATCATTTTTCCTAGGAAAAACTTCTTTTCTTGCAGATTTAGGCAGTATTTTTAATGCTTGTTAGTTTTGAAATTGTTGGATATCTTTATTACAAGACGAGAATATTTTTGAGTTCTTTTCTAAACCTTTTATATACACTAGAAAAAATTACACTAAATGGCCCCAAATATTCTTCTCTGTGCTGAGAATAACACTGGCAATTTTTAGCTCAGAGAATAGCTGTTTTGGGGAAGATGTATAAGGATGTAATCAGAGGCTTAAAATGCTTTTATACTAGGAAGTGAATAGAATGTGTTTCTAGGTTACACCTGCACTTCAGCTAACTCTGGAGATCAATTCTGATAAAAGTATCTTAAACTTTCTATATAATCTGGCAACATGTACAATGCCTTTTTATTTTTCTTTTCTTTTCTTCTTCTTCGTATTTATATGCCCAGTGTATTCCACTCTTTGTGGAGGCTGTTCTGGATCGATTAACTAGGGGAGTTAAAACAAGCGAGCTTCGTACCATGTGTCTTCAGGTTGCCATAGCTGCACTCTACTACAATCCTGACCTACTTCTGCACACCTTAGAGAACATCAGATTTCCACACAATCCTGAGCCCATCACTGCACAGTTCATAAACCAGTGGATGAATGACACAGACTGTTTTCTTGGGCAAGTACTGTGTTGTTTTCTTTTAAAAATCCATGGATTTCAATTGTTTTGTTCGCTTCTGTATGTTGATGAAAGAGTTCTCATTCCTTGGTTAGTCTAAATAACAGTAATCCATATCAGGTCTAACTGCTGCGATGCCAGTGAAGGTGACCTATGTCCACATAACATTTCCAGGTGTGTTGAGCCACATGCCGAATTTTCCATGTTGTGAGGACACAAGAGTACAATACATATTTCAGAATTCTTTTAAGTTCTTTAATCACAAACTGTCTGCTGCACCAAGAGATGGTCCAACATGCATTGATGGTAGTATTCAGAGCTGGCCAGCAGGATTTCAGAGATGTTAACTTTTTTTTTCTGAAACACTGTATGCATATTTTCTGTTCTATATTTCATAAAGTATTTTTAACTGCTCCACCTAATGTTAAAAAACATTCTGTCCAGTGAATCCCACATTCTGATTTTAATCCCTGCGAGTTGTTCGTTATCAACTTGCATATTTATCACTATGCTATGGATGTACTAATTGTTTAGCATGCTTCTGAACTTAGACTTCATTCCAGCCTTCCTTGAACATTTGTGTACATTGCATGAGTGTGCACTTGGGCAGGAGCTGAACATTTGTAAAGTAAATGAAGGTGGACAAAGCCTGTCATCACATAGCTAAGCATGCACTCAGTGCTTTTCGGATGTGAAGTCCAGTGCTTGACAGTTAGTGCTTGTCTCTCAGCTAAGATGTGGTGTCGAACTGTAAGATTCAAATCCACTTAAGGGCAAAGCAGGCAGTCAGATGTAGTTAACAGCTACCTCTCATCTTCCTGCTATGAGTTACGTTTTCTCAATGGAGGCTGACATCTGACTGCAGGTGTACAGATAAGCTTAGAATGAGTCTTCTCTGTGCACGGTCTATGCCAACAGACTAAGTGAAGTGTCAGCATGCTAGCAATCATGCTGTGAATGAACATGGGCTGAGACAGGCAGCTCCTCACCCATAGATGCATACCTTATTTTAGATTGTCCTTCTTTTCCTGCCTCGTTTTTATTGGTGCAGTTTTGTCTTTCCAATTCTAAGCAAGTCTCTAGGGACCTTCTTATAAGAGGGTTTCTCCACTCCCCAGTCATCCAAGTAGCTTTTCTCCATACCAATTCCTATGCAAGTTAATCTCCCTGAACAGAATTATATGCCATCTTGGTATAGCTGCATTATTGCCTCAGTGTCTGTCCTGAATTTAGAACTGTGTTGTGCATTAGAGCACTGCATCACCTTTTTCGTAACTGTAATAAAATGGAGATTCCAAATCAATCAGTGACTAACTGGTATAGCCAGGCTTTGCTTTCAGCATGTCCTTTGCAGTATTTTTAGAACACATACCAAATAATACACAGTAAAAATTGTTTTCCTCCCTCCTCTGTCCTAAGTACAGTTTAGTGGGACAATAATGAAAGTGTAGTAGTTTGTAGAATTGCATCATATTTCAGGTTTGCAGGTTAATTCTATCTGTTTTACTAGAATGAAAACCGCTTGGAGATAGAAGAGAAATTTGTTGTATACAGGTTTTGTGCAGCAGCTTCCCCATTCGTGTCTGTATTTGAAGGTATTACCATAGCAGTCTCTTCTTGAAGAAAAAAAAAGTATTAAATCAACTGGATAAAAAGTGGGGAAAAAAATTCTCTTACTCACTAAGCAAAACCAGATGGTTCATACTATCACCAGCATTGTGACTTCTTCTACCTGCTATGTGTACAAAATGTCTACAGCACATCCTGTATCTAAACATAAATACACATCAATTAGAGGGGTAACTTGAATTGGTGACAAAGAAGGCATAAAGAACCCAGTGTCCCTCATTTCTCTTTGGAGTGCCAGTGGCTGAAAAATGGTACCTTTAAGTCTCTCTCTCCCACATCTCATGGTAATGTTATTGTTAATTATTGAATTATTTTTATATCTACCCACTTAAGGATTTCCATGAACCTATTTTTTTTCCTTTTTTATGGCTGAAGCAAAGTTCTTGAGATTCAAGTCTTTGTGCTGTCATTTTATTCTACTGCATATCAAATGCTGAACTCATACAGAGACAGTAGGAAAGAAGATGTTCCCTACAGATGGTAAACTTGTCATACCTTTTTAAAAAGAAATAAAAAATGAAAGAGATTTATGGCCTTAAACAGTTCATGCTGGAGCATTCAGTGAGAAACTAGTCAAATCCAGAGGTGAAAAATGCTGCAGATCTGACTAGGCTCCAACCTCCATTACTCCTGTGAGCTACAGCTTAACTTTCAGTTCTTTTGTGTTGCTTTTCAAAAAGAATCAGCTACTGCAACTACTGTTCAACTGAAGTCTTCTTCAGAGCTGAGACAAAAGTTGACAAAGCCTATGAAAATGAAACATGGAGATCATGTTGCTAGATTCTGCTCATACTCTGCACTTGAATGGCAGCAGAAGATTAAAATTTATCTCTTTGATCTGCTGCTACCAGCAGTGACGTAAATCATAGAATCACAGAATGGATTGGGTTGGAAGGGAACTTGAAGCTCATCCAGTTCCAACCCCCCTGCCACTGGCAGGGACACCTTCAACTAGACCAGGTTGCTCCAAGCCCCCGTGTCCAACCCGGCCTTGCAGCCACAGCTTCTCTGGGCACCCTGTGCCAGTGCCTCACCACCCTCATAGTGAAGAACTTCTTCCCAGTGTGTCGTGGTTTAAGCCCAGCTGGTAACTTGGAACCACGCAGCCATCGGTGTTATCAGTATTGTTCCCAGACTGAAAGTCAAAAACACAGCACTGCACCAGCTACTAAGAAGGAGAAAAAATGACTGCTGTAGCTGAACCCAGGACACAGTGTCTAATCTGAATCTGGAGGCCCCAGAGTAGAAGAGGAGGTGTGTAGTATCATTGAGTATTCCCAATGTGTGACATGTACTGAGGACATGATGGACTTGACATGAGGAAACATTACTGGGAGGGTGGTCCCCACCCCACTGTCTCCTGCTAAGGGCCCAGGGGACATGTCTCGGCTCAGCCTGGGGCCGTCAGTCCCTGCCAGAGCCATGCTGTGCCTGTGCCTGTCCCTGTCTCCTGAATGCGTCTAGGACCTGCACTGCAGAGAGCTGCTTTCCTGGGTGGCTGCTTTAGGCCTAGGGCATCACTTGTCATGCAAAGTTGTAGGCATCCCATAGCATAACCTTTTCCATTTCTATTGTAGTCTAGTGTAGTCTATTCCATGCTACTCCACTCCATGCCTCTCCATTCAGTTCCATTCCCTGCACTCCCCCTGAGCTGAATAACAAGACTGTTCCGTTCCATTCTGTTCCATTCAGTTCCATTCCCTGCACTCACCCTGAGTTGAATAACAAGAATTTTATTTCCCTGCAGTGCCAGGGGTTTTCAAATCAGTTGTAAGACTCAGAACCTAGCGAAAGTGCAGAAGATTGCAATAAATCCACCTCCAGCTGTGAAGGACCAGGTGAATCTTACTGCCATTTCTTTGTCAGCCATGCAGGAAATCTGTGACTTACTGGTAACAGTGTCTCTTCAAGATGCTTTGTCCACATATCTCACACCCCTCTGTCCTTCTTCTGCTCCTATGAAGTCTCTGTACCTGAAGGTCCTGCCCTGCCAGCAGTAGGGTTGTCCATGTCTGCATGCTCTCAGGCTGGAGCCAACAGTGTTTGCCAAAAGAATGCAGTATCTCTTGCACCGTGCTTGTGAAGACATGAGATGGAATCCATGAAAATAATACATCTTGAGGAGGGAAGCAGTTATGGTAGGATACGTAACTGTTCTTCCATGTTATTAAAATGAGGAGACTATTTAAAACCGAAGAGAAATTTTGAATATTAAGAATGATCCAGGCAAGGAGAGCTCAGAACTCATTTTAAGATTGCATAAATCCAGTATGTCATTGTAGATGTTATACATCTATGAATGTGTGCCCATATTGCCCATGTGCCAGAGCATATTGTATTTATTTATTTTCAAATGTTTTCTACAAAAACTTCAAGCTGAAAAGCCATTTGTAGAAACATTTGTTCCTTACTGCTTTCCACCCTTTCCTTGACAGCTGAAATTTGGGTGAGAGTTCTGCATGACTTATGCTTACTCTCATACTAAAAATTCTTCTGTGAAATCTAGGGTGAAAAGAAAATCTAACTTGCTTCAAAAAACCCTCAGTAGCATTTCTTTTTTTTTTTTAGAAGGTGACTAGTGGGATTTATTTGATAGGAGTTTAAATAGTTAGAAATCTTAGTTTTCTCAGAGTTATATATAAAATCCCATTCTTGCACAGGAAAACAGGTTTGGTTCCAGCTTTGCAGCTAGAAGGAAATGGCTGATTATTTGCAGTTTGTCCAGGAACTGGGTTGCTGTAATAGAAAGCAACTTGATCCTCACATAAAGGAGCACAGCAAACCAGTAAGAAAAGGCTTAGTGTTTTCCCTTTGAAATACTTTCAGCTTGGTTTAAAATACTAAAGATTCTTAGACCTTTTTGTCCTGTCTTGGAAAGAAGTGTATTAGCAAGAAAAGGTCCTGCAGATTATGAAGACCACACACAGCTTGTTGAAAATAGACTCGCCTAAGAGTCGGGCATTGCACTGCCATGTGTTGCATGTTTAGCGCTCCAGGCTTGATACACCATTAAGGGAGCAAGCAGAGTTTGTGATTGTTAGGGAGGACTGTTGTGCGCTGCTGAGCAAGTAAGTATGGATCTTGAAGGACAAAGCACTGAGAGGAATTGTATCCAGGCTCCCTCGTGCAGAAGGAAGGGTGCCATTTGATAGCAAAGGAATGGTCTCCAAACCATCTTTTGCCATTACAAAAATACATAAATGACATAAAACTGTTTTGCTCGTTCAGTCTTGTGGGTAGTTGATTCAACTGGGGCGAAGTAGAATGCTGAACTTCCGGCAGGGCGGATGCTTATCCTGCTCTTCCTCTCTGCTGGCAGGTGGAAGAAACAAGTCTCTTTCTGACTCAGGTTCACTAAAGATGGCTTGATGCCTGGATTTCTGCTGTCCTTCTGGGGCATCCAGTAACATGCATATTCCAAATACATGTGTTCATTCTTATAACTTCCCTGTTTAGAAGGTTGAAAATGGAGCATGACAAATACGCTGTATTTTTTGTCCATTTGGGCTGCTTCCTGATGATGACTCTCAGTGCTTGATTCTTGCAAAACTTTTGTCTGCTGTCCAGAAAAGACAGTTTAGTATGAAGTGAAGCTACTCATTACTAAGATTTTATTTTTTTTTTACATTTTACTGTGTTGCATTTTACAATTGGCATTGTGTAATGGTAGCTTTTTCAAATGTATTATAAAAGGTAGTGCCAAGTGTCATTAGCTATTCTGGTGCATGTACACAGAAATTTCATGGCTTCCCAGTGTCAAGATGCAGGGTGAAGTCTTGTGCATAGATTACAGAGCTTTGGTCAAACTTGGATGAAAGTGCTGGCAGAGAGAGGAGGTAGAAAAAGTTCTTCCTTTTTGTAGCTGCAGTAAGGACAACTGTCCCCAAAAAGCTATGCATCATTCAGAGGTAGCATCATCATTAGCTTGGATTTTGGTCTTCACAGTGTTGGCACAAGAGCAAATGGCAGTGAGCTTGTTTTCAACATAAATAAACTGACAGGAGTAAGGGGCTTAGGTTTTGTTTGGTTGGGTTTGTTTTTTTTGTGAAAGCAGACTATTCCCCTGACTCAGTTTCCTTCATTGATTCATATGCCCTCTTTTGAGCCCCATTCCTTCTGTAAAGAAAGTATTGCAGTTAGTGATGGAAGGACGCTCTTCGCCTGCTTACGTTTTGGTACATTTTTCAACACGTGTAATGGAGCAGCCAAACCTAACATGACAAAGTGTGTCATTTGATATGCTAGTTGACTTTGTTTTTCTTGGAAGGTCTTCTGTGATCGTAATGTTACACATGGTCATATGTAATTTATTGTTGTTGTCAGCTACTCTGAGAATGGAGTCACTTCACTAAGCCTTAACAGGACGAGCAACATGGGAGGTGTAATGAAAACCCTTTCAGATCCCCAGCCTTGTTCAAGCACGTGTAAAGCTCAGAAAGCTGCAATACACAATCACTTGTGTTACTTAGAGAGTATTATAGTCCAGTAGCATGTTATATGGGATCTTTGATAATTAAATTATAAGCACTTTAAAAATTGTATTTCTATAGCAATTTTTGAAGTGGTGGATTAAGCTGGCTGTTCATCTGTAAGCTTTATTGCAGTCTGTGGTACACATCTTATTAGTTTCATCTCTTTCAACTTGTATCCTCTTCATACCAAAGTAAAACTGATTCGTTAGTAGAAGTATCTACCAAGAGTCTGGAGGATGGCCATTTTCTGCGAGCTCTGGAGGTTTGCTTGGTTTCTGTAGGTCTCTGGCTGGAACTGCTTGTCCTGCAGAAGGCTTTCACGGAGGCTGTCAGCGTCAAATTGAATAGTTCAAACAAAACAAGTTCCTCTCAAGCCCTTAATAGCAAAATACCATAATGTTAGAGAAGAGTTGAACACTACTGGTGTTTCCAGTAAAGAAGAACCAAAGAGAGGCAGTTAGAGAATTTTTCCCTGTCTTGTTTGCAAATAACTTGTATTTCTAGAAGTGAAAATCAGTTCTTATTTCTAAAAGCATGTAGGCTCTTACCTAGTTTCCTGGCTATGGTCACATAAAAATCTCTCTGCTACTAATGTAATGATTTTCTTTCCCTTCAGTTATCTATAGTTTACTTGTTTTACTGAAAGTCTGTTCATTTGCAAGTTCTCTGTTTGAGTGTACTGTATTCTTGATACAGTGGAATTATTTCCCTGCTTTCACTAGAGTTAGCAATGTGTCTCAAGTTAGTGTGGAAACTGGATGTATAATACAGCCATTCTGGTGGACTGTTAATAAATATGTTTAAATACAGCTAGCCCTGCCGCATTCCATAAATGCACATTGCAATTCAGTGGATTCTTGCTTATCATTACTCTTCACTAATAATCCTTTTGTTAATTTCAATTCCTGCAACAGTACTGCTATTGAAGCCAAGGCAAATTAATTTTCCATCCTATTTAATGATGATAATCTGTATCAAATGCTATATTAAAGACAAGATATTCTACATAATTATTAAGCAGTATTTATTTAGCATTACAAACTTTGCATTTGGCAAGCAGAAGCAGTTGTTCCAGGAATTTTACCAGTTTTTCAAAGGTGTTTAATTGATATTGGATAAGTACTTTCCAGTGGTGAGCTTGGCAACAGAACAAAGGAAATAATATGTTTAGGAGCTTCGAACATACACTTTGAACATAGTCTTTGTGACATTGTCTTCTGCCATGCCAAACACCAGGCCTTTAATGTTCTCTATATATCCTTGCACTGAAAATCTGTTATGTAACAACAAATGTGTGTTGTTTCAGACTCCATGACAGAAAGATGTGCATAATAGGACTGAGCATCCTAATGGAATTGCAGAACCGACCGCCTGCAGTGGATGCTGTGGCTGCCCAGATTGTCCCTTCAATCCTCCTCCTCTTCCTGGGCTTAAAACAAGTTTGTGCCTCACGAGAACTCACAGAACATGAGGATCATGCTAAAGATGAAAAACACGTTGCAGAAGATAATGGTAAAATCTCCCCTTTTCACATTGTGGATTTTGTCTGGATTTAATTTAAAGGGGGTAAGGAATTGCAGTTCATTTTTAAGACTCATTAGTCTGCTGAAAATAGCTCAGCTTACTGGGTGCTCGAAGATCATCTTAGGAATTGATTTTTCCTCCCAAAAGGTTTCAGTGTGTAACAGCTAACACTTTGTGAAAGGGTAGTACTTGTTTAAGAGTAACAGTAGAACTTGCAAGTCCACTCTTCTGGGTTGTGAAAGCGCTTTGTCTTTTCACATAGGCAGCAGGACTTTGCCAGGACTGCACTGGTTATATTCTTGAGTCCTGAAAAGAAGCTGTTCCTAGTACCCAACTAGTTGAAAAACCCATTTTGTTGCACTTCAAAGGAAATTCCAGCAAGTTTTCTTTGTCCAAATGGAAAGTGATTTGTAAAGTAGGGTTTGAGACAGCTGAGGTTCCTGGAGTAGACTCTTGCTGCCAGAAGAGGAAAAACATCAAAGATAGATACCTTGTAGAGGGAATTGTGGGGAGTGAATTTTACACAGCATTGCAGGCTGTATTTGACTTGGAACAGGAGATAAATGGTTTGAGGTCTAAAAATTAGATTGGATGTAAGCAGATTATGTAATCCACTCAAATTTCACACGATTGTTTTGTAATGGAATTACAGAGTTCTCGATGCACAGGAATACGCCATGGAGACAGCACAGTAGTTTTCAAATCTCTGTGATTCTGTCCCTGCTCATTGCAGATACTTACCTGTTTTCTTTCTAAACTGTTAAAGCAAGAAGAACCGAAGGTTTAGAATTGGAGGGGGATTTTTTAAATCTTGATTATATTTTCCATTAAGTAAGAAATAGCAGTGTCTGGAATCGCGTGTTGGAGTTGCATTTAATTCAGGATATAATAGTTGTTTCGTAAATGGATCTGAAGGTAAAGCTAAGCAAAGGATGCAATTTTAAGTTTGTTCAAATAAGGGAGCACTATGAAGAACAGCAAGCAGGCATTTGGTCTGCATTTGGTCTTCTCTTTGTTTTGTGTCTATTTGTGAAGTCTGTGCAAGTCTCTATTTGTTCATTTGCCCCTCTACTCTGCTCTCATGAGATTCCACTTGGAGGACTGTGTGCAGTTCTGGTGTCCTCAACATAAGAAGGACATGGAGCTGCTGGAGCAAGTCCAGAGGAGGGCCACGAGGACGATAAGGGGGCTACAGAACCTCCCCTATGAAGACAGGCTGAGAAAATTGGGGCTGTTTAGCCTGGAGAAGAGAAGGTTGAGTGGAGACTTCATAGCAGCCTTCCAGTATCTAAAAGGGGCCTACAAAGATACAGGAGAGGGACTTTTTGTCAGGGATTGTAGCAATAGGACAAGGGGTAATGGATTCAAACTTAAAAAGGGGAAGTTCAGGTTAGATATAAGCAAGAAGTTCTTTACTGTGAGGATGGCACTGGTTGCTCAAAGAAGGGGTGAATGCTCCATCCCTGGCAGTGTTCAAGGCTAGGCTGGATGGGACCTTGAGCAACATAGTCTAATGTGAGATGTTCCTGCCCATGGCAGTGGGGTGGGAATTAGATGATCTTAAGGTCCTTTCCAACCCAAACCATTCTGTGATTCTGCGGTAATTTAAAAAGCACAGTGGTGAAGCACTTTGACAAAGACACATTTCATAAAAATTTTTGGATCCTGTATTTGCACTGTGACTGCATAAATGAAAGAAGAAAAAAGATGGCAGTTTCACATTCCCCAGGTGTGCTTAGGAACAGAAGTTTAACTGACCTTGAACATAGGAAACATTTTAACAGCTTTATTTTTCCAATTCTTTTAAGACTTTAGGGGAAGGGTGATAACAGAGGGTCCCCTTTCCAGGCAAAACCTAATGGTTCTTCATTCGTAAGTCATTGTTTCCTCATACTTTTTAAACTTTGCTTGACAAAACACATCAATGCTTTTGCAGAAGAGATACCAAGTGATGAGGAGGAGGCAAATGAAGTGAGCCAGGCAATGCAAGAGAACCATAGTGGAGGAGGAGGAGGAGGTGGTGGAGGAGGAGAGGAAGAGGATGAAGATGATGATGATGATGACTGGGATGAAGACGCATTGGAAGAGACTGCTCTTGAAGGATTCAGCACACCTCTTGACCTTGAAAATGGTGTTGATGAATACCAGTTTTTTACGCAAGCACTTCTAAGTATGTGTTTGCAAGTTGGCAGAATGACATAATATGATGAAATAGTTTGGAGATGTTTATGATCATCCTTTTCTTTTTAGGAGTAATAATTTAGATTAGTGAAACTGGAAAATGTGCTTTTACTTTCTAATGTTAGTCGTAAGATTTTTTGCTTACGAGTACTGCAAAAACAAATGGTAGCAAATACAGCCAGAGATTAATTCTCTTCATGTTCTCTTTCAGAACATTTCAATCATAGCCTAAATAAATGGGACTTGGTCACTAGAGGGACTCCTATATATAGAAATACTTGTCATATTCTAGATGTTAAAATCATAATGGAGAAATTATTTTCTGCCTTTTCTGTTTGACTAATCCAGTTGCTTTTAGTTTTGGTATGAGTTTTAAATTAGAAGATTCACTTCATCATTGTCCATAAATAATGGACACATGGTTAACTTCATTTTATAAAGCAGAGGGATTTAATTAAGTTCCCCAAAATGGATTGCTTCTATTACAGTGGGTATTCTGTGCTAAGAAAACTGACAGGAATACTGAACCCATTTTGCAGTGCAAATTCTGTTTTAAAACCAACCAGGGATTCCATGTGTTTCATTTTGCTCTTCTGAAATTAACTTGCTATGTAACGTGATAATCACTTTTCATTCATTGCTGTTCTAACAGCGGTGCAGAGCCGAGATGCAGCCTGGTACCATTCGCTGACAGCACCACTGAGTGAGGATCAGAAGAAACAGCTGCAGGAAATTTATACATTAGCAGAACACCGACGAAATGCTGCAGGTGAGTCACTTTTCTGGGGCCATTTTATCTGTTGCAGAGATGCTGGAACTGCATCTAATCTGTAACAACAGAGAAAACAAATCTCTGTTGTTGTAAATGTGCCAGTTAAAACTTCCTGAGAAGCACAAGTGGGATATCACACTGATATTATTCCTTGCCTGGAAGTGTGTGTTATTCAGATTACTCTTGCTTCCAATTAATTGCCTTCTCATTGCCATGTGCTGCTGTTTGAACAGGGTACAAACTAGCTTTGCACAATCTGACATTTGAAATGAAGAGGAAATTAAGGCAATATCTAGCTGTCAGCCGGGCAATTGATGAAGATATCTATAGATTATTATGTGTTTAACAGTTCTGTGACTTTTTAACTGTTAACATTACTGTCAGTCAGTGTAAGGTTTTAGATGTTTAGACAGCTTGCATCATGGAAAATAAATTCATACTTAATCAAAAATCATGCAGAATAGTATAACATGGACTGGTTCTATAGAGGATTAATTCCTAAGCTTATTTCTCAGTTCTAGTGGTGTGTGCATTTATGCATTTAGAGAAAATCTGAGTGTAATTTATTACTGTCACTGCATTTAGCGAATGATATTTTGGCTCAGTTGAGAGTTTTTTCCACAACTTCGTATTCGTAGCTGAGCTGTGTTGTCTCCGACAAAAGCATTTTCTATAGGCTATTTTTCAAATCCTTTCCCTTCTTTCAATTCTAGAGACTAAGACAATAGAACAACAAAGTGGTTACACATTTGACAACAAAGGACTGATCACAGCATTTAACTTTGCTGGAAGTACTACCGGTGGCAACTGAAGGATCAGCTACAAAGGTCAATGGAAAGGGTCTCATCTTTACATTTTCTTGAAATCATCGTGACTTCTGAGTGATAGGGGAGGGTAATTTAATGCTGCTGAAGGTTTTCTGGAAAATAGCAGTGTGCTTCCCCCACCAGAATGCTCTTTCTAACCAGCTACTGTAATGTACAAATTCTTGTGGTGTTTTTATAATTTGATGGATGGAAAGGAAACATTTGTCCTCAAGGAAACCGAATGACTGGGAGGAGCCAGGCTGCATCTGATTGAGTTGCACTTCTCAGGTTTTTGCTGTGCAGAATTGATAGATTCATATGGATAACAGTGCCTTCTGTTGTACATGGATTGCCTGAACAAATGGATTTTGGAGTGCATTATAATTTTTTAAGTGTAAGGACATTTCTTGGTACACTGTAAGCCTTGGTTCCATGTTTTCCAGTCATCTGCTTTTTACTACTCGGTTCAGTTGTTTGTCAGTTGCATATGCATTGCTGGATTCAGAATATTATCTCATCTTCTCTGTTTGGTGCACACCAAATGTGTAGAGGGAAGTGTCTGTTGGAGTTGCAGAGCATACACTGGTTATGTCAAAGGGTCTTAACAAAATTGCAGATTTTCCCTTAATGCAGTAGTCTTAAATTATTTCTCTTAGCCATGAAATCAACTTCCTTGTGTTATGATGGCATACATGGCAGGTGGCTACCCTAAACCTACACTGATATCACCTCCTGCCTGGGCAAACAGTGTGGCCCTCACATGTAGGTGTTCTACATGACAGCTTTTTATTCCCACTATTTTTGATGAATATTGGATTTTAATTGGGATTCTATAAACCTCTTTTCTGGTTTTATTCATTCATTACCATTCCAGTGGTAGTAACGAGTAATGTGGTACAAAATATTTACAATATTTTCTTTATCTTGGTAGAAGAAAAACAGCTCCAAACTTATTTCTTCTTACTCTTACACTTCTATGATTGTTATTTCTGGTCTGCAGTTCAATTGGCTGTTCTTGTTGCATGCTGAAATTCCATCATCTGCCAGAGTTTTTCCTAAATTTTGAAAACTGGTTTCTCATAAATTGAAACACATCCAACAGATTTTTTGTGAATATGTTAATTTGAGAAACTGATAGCAATACTAATTTTAATAGGTGCCCCTCCTTTAGACTTACTGGGATCGCAGTGGTGTAGCCAAAATAAGTAGGGCTGCTTTAGAATGTGAAGTTTGGATTGGAGATAAAATGTATTAGACCAGATATTGTCTCTATGTGTTAATTTCTTTATGATTTAAAAATATTTACCAAACAATTTTAAGCACATACTGATAATGTATTTCTTTACAGCAGTGCTCCAGCTGAAAAGTTGAAGCCCTTCCCATACCCCATCAAATTTTCAACGACTGTAATGAACTACAGATTGCTGGCCCTGCCCTATGCTGAAGCTTTCAGTTTTTGTACCTCAGAGTAATTATAATTCAGTCTGATAAATCTGAAAAACTCTATTGACTTGGCTTCTGGAGAAGGCCAAAGTGTCTCTGCTTGTTCCTTGCCCCATCCCCTGGGATTTTCTCAGTCTGGCAGCTGAGGGGCAGAAGGTTCCCCACTGCTTTCCTTTTTCCTGCACCTTTGTGTCAGACTCTCTCTGGTGCTGTTCTCTGCTGCTGGTTCTTTCCTGCCCTCCCCCAGCAGCTGCAGATCAAAGTTGGCCTGGTTCGTGTAGGTTTTTCACTGCTGCTACTCACTTAATAGCAACAGTGAAAATTTCTCACTTTCAGGTCTGTTGAACATATGGAAAACTGAGAATTCCAGGGTCTGTATTTCCAAAAGGGTTCAATACACTGAGCTGCATTGGGCAGGCTCTTCAAGCTCAAACAGCAGAGGGCCAGGATATCCTTTAGTTTGAACATCAGGCCATGAAAATTATAGGTCACTTTTGCTAATTTAGGCTTGGGGGTGAATTGCCTGAGACGGTAGGAAGTCATTACATCCAGATTGTTGGTGAGTTTCTCAGAAACCGTAGAAGTTTTGAAATCCTTCATGAATTTAAGAAATGTTTTTTGGAAGTTAAGGACATGGACATCTCTCTCTTACCTGAAAACTGAAGTTAAGTATTAGTCAGGTAAACTGTTCAAGCCCTTTATTATTTTATTTAAAAAATGAGATTGTTGAGTTGAGTTTCTTTAAAAGCCCATTTGCCTTCTCTACACTGGCATGCAGAGTAGAAGAGGGATTTATTTTTCTTCTGCTAATGAGGTTGCTTGCACAGTCACAAGCTAATATTTAGGAGTTGATGTGTTCAAGGAAAAATCTGCTTTTGCATAGCATCATCTTTGTGTCACTCAGCTGAACTATGGCTGCTCCCTAGTTCTGCTTCTTTTATACTTTCAAAATCAACTGCCAAGAAAATTTCACCCAGATGTTTCTTACAAGGGGTTTAATCAGCAGTGTGGAGTCAGGAATTTTTGTTGTCTGTTTTGCAGTGGGGATCAGAGATGTCTGAGGGGATGGCATATAAAAAGGTTAAATGCCCTTCCCTTCCCAGGAGATTCATGAGCAAATGTTTCTACTGGCAAAAGCAAATGTTAATTATTTTATTCCTTTTTTTTTGAAAAGGGTTTTCATCCAAAAAGATTTATTGGGCTCTAGCCTCCACTTTAGCATATGGTTCTCTTTTAACATGATAAATATCTGTTTGTACATGATCATAAATAGGTAATGGATTTTAGGGATTTCTTTCTGACCTGTGTCCAGCTTTGTACATTAAAGGGAGAGTAACACAAATGTGCATTACTGTCTCACTTTGAAGCCAAGGTAATCATGGAATATCAGGTACCAGCATCAGCCAACCAGGCATGGTGTATTTGCCATTGAAGTACAGAGAATCATGAATGTATTGTAAAATAAATCAAAGGCTGATGAACAGTGAGCTGTGTTGTCCCATGCCCATCTTCCCAAAGTGTGAAGGTGACTTGTATGGGCACCATGGGGGCTTTACATAGGAAATTAACATTCTGTAGGTTATAATCATAGCAAATGTTAACTTACATGATAAGCTGCTTTTTCAGATAAAATTAACTGATCCTGGGTATTGAATTGCATATGCTGTTTTGTCACTCTTGAAAAGAAAATGAGATTCACCATATGTTTTGACTGCTGCTTTTTACTCTCTCTCTTTCAAAGTTGAAGGTCTTGGTTTGCTTTCATTGAAAGCAAAATCTTTAATCAAAACGGCCAGCTCCAGGAAAAGTGCAGAATATCAAGCTAAGGAAAAAGCTAAACCTCAAACCCCAATAGTGCCCCAAAACCCACATGTGAGTGAAATAAATGTGCTTTGGGAGTGTAAGTCAAAATATGTAAGGAATGTTACACAAAATGATATTGTGAGATTCTTTGCTTTAGGGGGAAAGGCTGCCTGCGGGGTGTCAGGGAGACATGAAATGAACTGCTTTAGGACATGCCCTTTGCCTGTGAAGTCCAGGCAGTTTGTGACTCTGGATTCCATCATACATTGTAGAGGAGAGAAGGTAGGACAGTAGAGGATTTATTTATTTTTTTACTATAAACCAAAAGTCTGTCTTGAGACTTCGGTGAACATGAATGATTAACTGTCTTTTGTTTCCAGAATCCTTTTTTCTTCCCTCCTTTCCTTCCATTTGCCAACCAATGTGTTATCAGATATTTCAAGGGTTATTGAAAATACCTGAAAAGCTAAAGCTTAAACAATATTTTTTAAATCCTGTGGTTCTTGAAGCAATGCAACCTATTCATTGCATTTCTGTCTATAGAATAAAGTCTCTCTTTCAGTATATGCAGATGTCACAGAACTATAAAACCTCCTCACTTTTGCCTGTGGTTTGATGAGCATTTCTGTGATTTAATTCTTGGGGATATGGGTACTTGTATGGGTACTTTGAAATCCCCACACCTTGTACTGAAATTTGCTCAAAGGATAGGCAAAAATGCAGCATGTAATGGAGTACCCAGTTCTGAGAGATGCCCTTGTCAGTCTTCTGATGATGTTTGACATTCTGGTGGTCAGTTCCTCAAGGATCTCCATCTCTGAGGACATTCTCAAAGTCCAAGAATCTGAATCTTTGCATGTGGACAGAGAATCTGTATTTTCCTCATCACAGGAAAGCATACAGCAGGCATGGCTATCAGCTTCTTGATCTTGTGAATGAAAATAGCACTGTCTTCTGTCGGATGTCAAATTTTACCCCAAACAGATGGCATACAGAAGATGTGGATGTTCCCAGTGTGTTAAAGGAAGCCAGATACTCTTCCAGATACCAGAAAGTCTTAGCATAAAGCCGTATCATAAAGGATATGTGAGAGGATATATGAACAGTTCAAGCTGCTTGCTTCCATAACTTCCACAGCTACTATTTTTGTAAAACAAAACAATCAAAACCAGTGTAAAATTAATTAAGAACTAAAGCAATGCTTGTGCACTAGACAGGTAGAAACTTCCCTGGCCTATGGGTCTAATGCCAATACTCACTGCAAGTGCACTCACATACTTTTAAAATAGAACATGCAACATCTGTATGGATATCAGTGCCCTGAATCTGACAGCCGTTAATGAGAGGTAATGACTTAATGTGAGTTTTCTCTGGCAGAAAGCATATGCATCCCCTTATGCCTTCTATGGTGGGGTGGATAAGGGGAGAACGACTGATGTTATCTACCTCGATTTTCAAAAGGCAATTTGACAGTGTCCTGCACAACATCCTTGTCTCTAAGTTAAAGAAGCATAGATTTGATGGATGGACCACTTGCACCTAAGGAATTGGCTGGATGATTGTGCTCGAAGAGTTGTGGTCAATAGCTATCTATCCAAGTGGAAATCAGTGATGAGTGGTTGTCCTCAAGGGTCAGTACTGGAACTGATCCCGTTCAACATCTTTGTTGGCATATGGACAGTGGGGTTGAGTGCACCCTCAGTAAGTTTGCTGACAACACCAAGCTGTGTGGTGTGGTCAACACACTGTGGAGGGAAGGGATGCCATCCAGAGGGACCTGGACATGCTTGAGAGGTGGGCCAATGCTAACCTCATGAAGTTCAACAGGGACAAGTGCAGGGTCCTTCATCTGGGCTGAGGCAATCCCAAGCACGACTACAGGTTGGGCAGAGAATGGATTGAGAGCAGCCCTGAGGAGGAGGACTTGGGGGAGTTAGCTGACGAGAAGCTCAACATGAGCCAGCAGTGTGCACCTGCAGCCCAGAAAGCCGACTGTGTTCTGGGCTGCATCAAAAGCAGCGTGACCAGCTGGTCGGGGGAGCTGATTCTGCCCCTCTACTCCACTCTCCTCAGACCCCACCTGTAGTACTGCATTCAGCTGTAGGGCCTCTCAACACAAGAGGGATGTGGACTTGTTGGAGTGAGGCCACAAAGGTGCTCAGGGGGCTGGAGCACCTCCTCTGTGAAGACAGGCTGAGAGAGTTGGAGTTGTTCAGCCCGGAGAAGAGAAGGCTCCAGTAAGACCTAAAGGGGACCTACAAGCAAAATGGAGAGGGACTTTTTACAAGGACATGTAGTGACAGGACAAATGGCTTCAAACTGACAAGGGGAGATTTAGATTGGATATTAGGAAGAAATTCTTAATTATGAGGGTGGTGA